CAAAAGAAACCAAAGCTCCTTAGAAAAGCAGCTGGTCTTAGTTCTGTGGATCAAAAATTGCAAGTGAGCCTGGAACATCTTCTAAAAAGTCAAGGCCATGCTGAAAGACTGAGGGATCATATTACAAAGTCACAGGGTGATCTTAAGGACTAAGGAGGTTTTTTAGAGGATTTTGCTATAGGGCGCGTGCGCTCCCCAGACAGAGAGAAACAGAAAACAAGAAATCACCCCCCGGGGGGGAATGGCCATGCCGCAATCCCCTCTCCTCTATTCTCCTCTATTCTCCTCTCGGGACCTTGGGCACGCATGCACAAGCGCCCGGCGTGAGTTTTAAGCCACCGGGTCCAGGACGCGAACCACGGTCGACTGGTTGACTACGTGGGAGTCCAGTGACATAGCCATTACGCTAACTGCTGGTCCCAAAGGGACTAAGGATCTTAAAGGGAAAGCAGGCAGACGAGATGATTTCCTCTCTTAAAGTAATAGTAATGTAACAAGGTTTCAAAAAGTTCATGGAAAATGAATCAAAGTACAAGTTAATTTTGATGCAAAACAATTTTCATTCCTAATATACACTTTCCTGAACTTTAAGGTGTTCACACGATTGTCCTCCATGGATATATTACTTAATGAGCCTTAAATAAAGCACTGTTGCATCTGCACAAAAAAAAAAAAAAAGAGAGAGAGAGAGAGGCTGCTGATGGACAAATTTGGAGAACTTGGAACACTAAAAGATGTCTAAATAATTACAAGACTGTAAATAAATAAAAATTTATATGTCTACAGGATTGAGAAGAAAAGCGGGGGGAGGGGGAGATGAAACATTTTCTTTACAAATACCACTTAACATGAAAGAGAACTGATAAAATTTAATAGGACCACTTTGCCACGCCTGATGCAGTAGTTAACCCAGGCAATAATCAATAGATACTAATATCAACAGGGAAAGTCACAGGGAACAGGAATAAAATGACAATTATCACCCCACAGATACCTTACCTTACTGGAGAAGAAAATTAATGTATTTTTACACTAAAGAAATGAGTAGTCAAATTTATTATCACCAACAGTAGAACAACCTAACATTACTTGCCTTCTAATATGAGGCAGTGTAAGATACACAACTTTATTTTTAAGTACTCTTGCCAAAAGACTTCATCTAAATCCAGTCCAGCCTCCAACTCAACTTCTAACTCTACATGGTATAAAAAATAAGTTAACCAACACTGTAAAGAAACCCACAAGCCCTGCTTAGGATTCTCTAAAGTTTCAATGGAAAAAAAAAAAAAGAAACTTTAAAACATTGAAAATAATTAGCAAATGCAATGAATGAACCTTGATTAGTTCTCAATTTGGGGAAGAAAACAGCTACAAAAGACAGTCTTGTAGTAAGGGGTGAGATCTGAATGTGACATGTCATTAGATGATCTTGGTTATCTATTGCTGTGTAGCACATGACTTAAACTTACTAGCTCCAAACAACAAGCATCTACTATCTCACGGTTGCTGTGGGTTTGGAATTTGGTGTGACTCTGTTGCATGGTTCTGGCTCAGGGTCTCTCCCAAGATTACAGGCAAGCTGTGACCAGGGCCATGGCTGTCTCAGCCTCAGCTGAGGGAGAATTCCCTTCTGAGCTCAATCATGTGGCAACTGACAGGCCTCAGGCCTTACCATGTGAACTTCATGACAAGCCACCTAATATACTCACCACATAGCATCTGGCATCCTCCCCTCCCCAGGGATCCTCACAAAATGGCAGCCTCAGGAGCAAGTGAAATAGAATCTTATGACTTTTGACTAAAACATCACTGATTTTCTTCTAGCCTTTGTTTTCCAGATTTAAGGATTTTTGTCTCATCTTGAGCTGCCAATAGGTTCATGTACCTACTACTTGAACAGAATCCTAACCTTGTTTCTTGGCTTTAAGTTTTAAGCAAAGCTCTCTTAGCATTTTTTGAAATCTTGATTTATTAAAACTAAAATTGCTTTTCTTGACATTAAAAAAATATATTAAAAAATACCTATTTAATGACCGCAGTAAGCTATATAACCTCAGCTAGGTGCTACTTCATAGTATGTTCATTCTACTCAGAGCTTCATGCCTGAAGTCAGACATGTGTTCACAGATAAGTATATACCAGCTGAACTTGCTATTGAACGTAGTTAGATTAATTAAAATACTTTGTGAATCAAGGGGAAAAAAAATAACACACACACACACACACACACACACACACACATACATATATATATACACATATGAAACAAGAAATGGAAAATAATTTGCCGATCATAACCCATATGATTAAGCCACTATGCAGTGTACTCTGGACGGGAAATCACATTTTGTATGCTGTGATGATGCTCAGTGAATGAAAGTAGTGATTAAATGTAAAATAAATTAATTTTTTAAAAATTAATGCTAATAAAAAAGAGCAAGTATCTATAGAAAGCTCAAGAGAGTACATCAAAGGCAGAAGCCACAGTCCTTTTATTTTTTTAAAGAATTATTTACTTAATTTATTTATTTTGATTTGACCAGAGAGAGACAGGACAGGAAGGGAAAGTGATAAAGCAAGCCACCAGGTCCAGGACTCAAAACGCAGTCAGGTGGCAGTCCAGCACTTCAACCACCATGACACCTGCCAGCCCCCACAGTCTTTTTATTAATATAACCTGGTCTCAAGTGACAACCCAACACTTTCTGATATAGTCTATCCACTAGAAGTGAGTCACTGAGTTCAGCCCATTCTCACAGGAGGGGAATTAAACTCCACCTCTTAAGAAACGGTAATGTCATTCTTAGGCTGAGTGTGTTGAATTAGAGACAATACATATGATAACTGTAACCTGTTTTCAAATGGCTCTGTAAATATATATATATGTAACAGATATGTTTGTGTGTGTGCTTGTATATAGGGTACATATAAGTAAAGCAATAAAGCAAATATAACAAAATGCTAAAAACTGCTGCATCTGGAAGGATGACTGATGGGTGTTTGTTGTCATATTCTTTCACCCTATCTATGAATTTGAAACTTTTCCAAAGAAAAAGTTGGAGAAAAGTAATTGAGAGTTGCTGTGGACTGAGTATCCCTCCAAAAGTCTTAACCACCAATGTGATGGTATTTGGAGGTGGGACCTTTGGGAGGTAACACACCACTCAGCAATGCCAGATCCATATGGAAGACTATAGGTTCAGTTTCTGGTCAACCTGTAAACGCCAGGTGCACACACCATGATCCTTACTGGCTGGAGAACTGCAGGTGGGGGGCGTTGCAGCATGAGACCTTGTTCACATGCTCATTTCTCTCTCTCTCTCTCTCTCTCTCTCTCTCCCTCTCTCTCTCATTCTCTCTGTCTCTGTTCCTCTCTCTCCCTGTCTAACTCTTGACACTCATGAAATAAACTTTAAAAAATAAAGAAAAGAAGAGCCACTAACGAGGATGTTCACTCCCTCTCTGCCACCTGAAAACCCCAGGAGAAGGCGGCCATCTACAAACCAGGAAGCCAGGAAGAGAGGCCTCACTCATGTCGGCACTCTGATCTTAGACTTTCAGCTTTCACAACCGTCAGGATGAAATGTTGAAGCCACCCAGTATGTAATATTTCATCACATCAGTCTAAGCAGACTCTTTCCACAAAGCAAATGTATCAGGAGAGTAAAGCCAGCGGTGAGAAAGGTTTTCTGGTGCAGAGAACTGGAAGAAGAATTGTCATCACCACCGTGGTTCCTTTGCAGACGTCTCATGTCACCGCTGGTTGGCAGTGATGTCCTCACAGACAGGGGAGGCCCCAAAGGAGTTTCTGCAAAGACTCCTCCCTCTCCCACACCCTACCACCACCACACCCCTTCTCACCCTAGGGTACACCTCCAGCCTTCACCCCTCCTGCAACCCACCTTTCTCAGCCCCAGGCATTACCTAATCTTTTTTTTTTTTTTTTTTGAGAGGTTTTTGGTATAGAGCACGTGCGCTCACCAGACAGAAAGAGACAGAGAGACAGAAAGCGAGAAACCACCCCCCAGGGGGAATGGCCATGCCACAATCCCTTCTCCTCCATTCTCCTCTCAGGATCTTGGGCACGCACGCACACAAGCCCGGTGTGAGTTTAAGCCACCAAGTCTGGGACTCGAACCATGGTCGACTACGTGGGAGTCCAGCGACATAGCCATTATGCTAACTGCTGGTCCCTCTTCTGTGTTCTTTTGTTAACCAACTGTACTAGCTCATTTTCACTCTTGGAACGGGATCATTATTATTAACCCCATAATTAATTTCTTTGTCATAAAATTTAAACATATAATTAAAGGATTATATATTGTTTAAAACCCTACAGTATTAATCCTCATGCTCCAACAGGTTCTAGCTAATTTGAAAGGATCAGGCAATTCATCATCTACATGAAAGTTTAGAATCAAGAGACACTGGTTTTTGGCAATACTTCTCAGAATTATAATATTCATATCCTTTGATCCGACAAGTCTGCTCCTCACATTTTGTCTTACTTAAACATCTGTGCAGAGTATGTTATATTTGTGTTAAAAATAAATCAAAAGGGTATGCATATATGCCTCTAGGCAGACTATTTCCAGAAAAGAACGCAAGAAATTCTAGCGGAGGCTGCCTCAGAGAACTAGGTGGCTCAGGAGAGAAACAGGTTGAGATTTTCAGTCTTTTGCACATTTAAAATTTTGTGTCTTGTGCATGTATTACCTATTTAATCAAAAAAGATGTTTCAAAAATCCCTGTGATCGAACTATTCACCTCTATGAGATTCTTATGTTTAAGTATTTTGCATTTCCTTTTTTAATTAGAAAAGTACATATATCGAATGGTCTATTCAGGTCGCTTAAACACAAGCTGCCTCCAACCCTGCTGCCAAGAACAGCTCTTTTGACATTGTGATCACTGATCCCAGTGTGCCCCTCTGATGCCCGTTTCTCCGGTTCTGCACCATAAACATGGCCACAGATGCACGCACACTCCACACACGGTACCTGGTTCAGCCTGTCTCTCTCTTCAGAGCAGGAGGCCGCTTTCTTCTGCTCTCTGTCGACTTCCGAAGCCAGCCTCCTGATCGTTTCTCTGCTGGCTTTTGCCTCCATCTCATGGACATTTATAGTCTCTTCAAGAACAACAATCTGTCCTTTCATGAACGCATTTTCCTTGCACAGCTCTCTAAGCTGCAGAGAAAACAGTGGCAGCTGTCCTATGAAAACCACCAATTTCATGCACATGCCCTAAGCAACTCGGATATATACCCCAATTGAGAGAGAAGTGAGGCCCCACTTACGGATAGATAGGGTAAGGGCCCCAAAAGGAAGACACTATGGTTTTCTTTTAAATGAAGTCTGCTTTCCTCTGTGGTCTGGTTAATGTACAATATACACCCCTTTTATATGTCTCTAAAGAATGTATGACATCTTGCACATAAGGCAGGAGATAAGGATATTGAGCACACAGACAGAGTAAAAATCCAAGATGGAGTCACAATGGCTATGTTTTTACAGCTCAAAGTTGGCCACATTGGGACTCAAAGCAACTGTAGCCAACGGTGCGAGTTTCTATTTAATAACTATATTCTAATAAGTAATACGGAACACTATGGTCTGCTGACCCCAGGTAGAATAGGGTAATAAATCTCTCAAACTACCATGTAACTATTTGCTAAAGTCCACATCCTTATCAGAAAGCCAGCCCATTGCTTGGAGTGCTAGATCAAAACCCCTCGCCTCCGTTCCTCTTCAGCAACCCATGCAGGACCCCACCCCTCTTGGGAGCTCAGTTCTTCCTTCCCTTTCTTAATAAACTCCACTTTGCTATCCCCTCTCTGCACCCACTTCTCTAATGCTTTGTGAGCATCAGACAGGAACAGCACAGGTACTGGGTCTGATCACCCAATACTCCTATGTCACAATGACTTTGTTATCACCCAAAAACAGTAAAATCGCAATCCCTACAGGGACAGCAAAGATCACATTATGAAACCCTCTCATCTCTGACGTTAGGTGCAGACCAGGTGGGCCGATTTAAGTTATTCAAAAGGTGTCCACAAGACAACGAAGCTGAGAAGAAAGCCAAAAGCTTCCTGAACCACACCAGCAGCGGGCCTCTAGCTGCTAAGTCCACAAAGGGGGTGATGTTTGCAGAGGTTGCAACAGGTGGCGAGAGAAGAGAGTCATATTCAGCCCACATCTGCTCACACCTACTGAATGCAAGGCCCTACCTGACACAGGGAAATGCCAAGAAGACAAGAGTATTTTTAAAAATATCCTTCTAATTAATACATAGAAAAATCATTTTAATAACATACTCAAGTTCATTATCACTGGGGAGGAGGATTAGCCCAGCTTTTTGTTTTCTATGTTGTACATTAAGATTGTTACTTACAGGGCTAGTAGGTGGCATGTAGTTAAGGCACCATAGTTCAACTCCCAGACCCGGTGGCTTGAAAATCACACCGAATGTATGTACATGTGTACTCAAGATCCCAAGAGGAGAATGGATGAGATCACTCCCCCAGGGGGATGATTTATCACTTTCCCTCTTACTGTCTCTCTCTGGTGAGCACATGTTCCCTATGACAAAATAAAATAAAATAAAAATAAAATAAATAAAAACATAAAAAAAATGGTTGCCTGGGAGCATTGTAAGACTTATTATATTTACAAGGAGAGAAAATAAAAGAGGCAAGCTCCCTGACCAGCCACACAAATACACACAGGAGCTGAGCTCGCTCTACAGGGCCAGCAGAGGCCTCTAGGAGACTGGAACCCCCAGAGTGCATTATGACGCTAGAAGGGGCATCTCTCTCAGCCTCAGCCCTTTGCCAACGTAGCACTATGGTCCCCAACTCCTGCAATTTCCTCTCTCTGAACTCTTTTGCTTATACTCATATGTTGGCCCCCCAACATCCTCCGAAGGTCCCACTTCAGTGGGCTAGGCTAGCCTCTAAACCAGCACCCCACACCTCTGGCCTGCTTCACTCTCTGTCCCCACATCCTGACCTGTGTTTTGTGTGTGTGTGTGTGTGTGTGTGTGTGTGTGTGTGTGTGTGTGTATGTATGTTTCGTTGCACCTTTCACCATGTGGGATAATACTGGATATTTATTTGTCTACTTCTTCACCATCTTTACACCATGATAATGGAAGTTCTGAGAGAGTACAGACTTGGTCTTGTCTCACTGCTGTATCCCAGTACCCAGAACAGCATCTAGCTTAAAACAAGCACTCACTGAAGATTCATGAAATGGATGGGTGACTATCAAATAAATTGCCAAGAGTGTTTCCTTTTCCTCCATGGTCCTTGCATGTGCTTATGAGAGCACATAACAGTAAAGGAACAGCTATGCAATTGCAGTGATTCTGTTTTGTTTCTTGGAGGAACACCTAGTACGGCTACAGTCTTGTTCGAGACAGCAGTCCTCCTGATCTCGGCCAGTGGTTTTTGTAAAGACAGGCACCTGTTCTGGAGGTTGGGCCACTAGAATTTTTACTACCTGGGATTGGGATTCACTATTATTCAATAGGGATTCACTATTATTCATGTGTGATAAGGCCTGCAGGTCAAGAGACATTGAAAAGAGAGTTTTTCACCCCTAGTTACTAAGAGAAGGGGGCACATCTGCCATGCAAGGCCACCTGGGAAAGCACCAGGGCCAATCAAGAGGGAAGAGAAGAGGGCAACAGTGGGAAGGAGGCTTTACTGTGGTTTTCAGGGCAAGGAATAAGCAAAACAGAGCAAGCAGACAGGATTGGCTGGTTGAGCAATGCCAATGACTCTGCAATGTAGGGGTTGCTCTGAGCTGTCTGGCATCTGGCTGTTTGGTGACCCGAGTATAAGAACCAGATGTAGAAGGTGGTTGGGGAGTAGGCTCTGGGTTGGTCAGTCTGCACAAAAAAGTTGTGTCCCCTGTGAGTCACTTACTATCTCTAGGAATTGGCTGACCCTGGGACGGGCTGTCTCTCCTGAGTCAGCAAGGCTGAGATGTCAAAGCATCCATAATACGGAAAACAAAAGGGCTTGATTAATACAGAGTAAAGACCCAGATTAATACCTAGAGACTATCTCTGATGGAAGAAAAGATGTAAAAGAAGGAGCTTCTGAATTCTCTTCTCTTTTTCTTCTCACTGCCAGAGGGCTTGTGTGCTCACAAGAGAAAGATAGAGAAAAGTGCCTCCCCGATGGTTAATGGTCACACATCAATCCTTTCTCCTTCATTTCTCCATTCTGCTGTAATTTCAAACTGCCAGGGCCAAGATTTAAAGCATGCTAGCCATGGGACTTGGAGCTGGCCCCAAAATCTTTTTTCTTTTCCCCACCACTTGACTTGAAAGATAATCCCCCAGGTCTATCTGGTGGCATGGTGCTTAAGGTGGCTGGATTCCACATAATCGACTGCATGGTTTGAGTCCTGAACCAAGCAGTTTGAAAAACATACTGGGCATGTGCCCAAAAAATCCCTAGAGGATAATCGAAGAGAAGGTTGTGGCATGGCCAGTCCCTTTTGGGCAGGGGAAAGGAGTGCTTTCTCCTCCTTTTCTGTACTCCTTCTCTCTCCCTGCTTCTGGTAAGTGTACGTACCCTGCAGCAAGTGGTTGAGTTGCTGGACTCTCACATAGCTAACTGCAGTTTGGGTCCCAAACCTAGCAGTTTGCTTTTTCACTTTCTCTCTCTCTCTGTGTCTCTCTCTGGTGAGCACCCATAGCAAATTTTCAAAATAATGATGATAAATAAAATTAAATAAATCTTAAAAAAAAAATAGAAACGAAAAGAAAGAAAGATAATCCCCCAAACTAGCAAAACTTTCACAGTTAAGCTCCTGGTCATATGTTAGCCATAGGGAGCAGGAAGTGGGACAACCAATAGCCATGAGGGTACTGGGTGGGCCCAAGGCCTGAGTATCGCAGCCCATCAGGGAAGTAGAGTGCTTGCTAAAGAGAAGTCATCTCGTAGCTTCCAGAGAGGATTCTTGGGAAACTTAACAGACTGCTGAGAGGTGAGGTGGACCAAGGGGCAAAGGACTGCAGCAAAACCAGGCCCCATTGCTCACTTGCTCTCTTTCTCTCTCTCACTCGCTCCCCTTCTCACTCTCTCTCTCTCCCTCCCTCTCTCTCTCTTTCTGTCTCCCTCTTTTTCTTTCTCTGGTGTATGCACACACCCTCTGGCATTAAAAGAATGACTATCCAGAAATCTGCTAGGAAGCAAGGATAAGAAAGGCTTGGAAATGAGCAAAGATACCAGGTCTTCCACAAATCCTCACAAGTCACTACAGGCCAAGTGGACCATTCAGTTGATATCTCGAATCTCCATCTTTTTGGTAATCTCCCATTAAAGTAGGACGTTCATTATTTGACTTTAATGCACAATTTTAAAAGTATTTTAGAACTTATCTTAATCTCACACTCAATAAATATCCCAAAAATGTGTGTATGTGTGTGTTTCTGTCTATAACTAATAGGAAAATACTTCCTAAAATGTGTCATTCAAATGAATAATTAATTGTATTTGAAAAACTAAATAGATTTTAGACAAAAATAATTAAATCTTTTTTTTTATAATAATCAATTCCAAATAGTGCTAGAAAAGCTCTTGGAACCCAGGTGAGAAAAAGGTGAGGGAGTTTGTCCCAGGTCACAGGGTCAATTAATGGTACACTCAAGCTACTGTCCCATTCTCCTGCCACTCCCAGAATCAACCACAGCACTTCCTTTCTTGTCACATGTTAAAATGGGCATGCATTTATAATCTTTTTAATCTGCATACAAACACCTTTAAAATGAAATCTTCATCTGATGCCTTTTCATTCTTCTTATCTGGATCCAAGCAGTCCAGAAGCTGAGTTAGAAATTCCTCATGTCTCCTGCAATTTTTTGAGACTTGCTTCTTACTCTCCTCATTTTCATTCAAACACTTTCTGTCAGGCAAATAACAAATAAATCAGGGTTTTGCACCATAGAAGACAACATTTATCAAACTAAGTCAAAACCTAAGCTCTCAGTGGGAAATAACTAGTTGCCATTTTTCTTTTTGATGTATTTTTTCATTGCCAGAGGGTTTGTGCTTACCAGATAAAGAGAGACAGAGAGAGAGAGAGAGAAAGCACGCCCCCAATGGGGTGCGGTCACTCTACAATCTCTTCTCCTCCATTTCCTGTTCCTGTTGGTATTGGGGCACACATGCATAAGCACCCAGCCTATTTTTCAAGCTACCTGGGCTAAATTTGAATCGTGGTCAGCCATATGGGATCTGGCTCTCTCTTCTACTGAGTTATGGAACCAGCCCCTAATTATTACTTTCAATACAACACAGTTTTCCAGACACAGAACAAAATATTGTCATGCAAATCCTGGATGGGAAGGAGAAAAGTGGAAGCAATTTCGGGCACCTACCCTTGGCAGAAATGTAGGGCAATCCTCATGGTATCATAGACTTAATAACAGAAGAGTTGGATCCTCTGCCTCCTATCCTTGGCCCTTTAGGGTCTGCAGAAATGGAGGCAGGCTGCCAGATCATACATGGACCCTTTGCAGGGTGCAGTCGGAATCCATATAGCCAGGGCAGGCAGGTAGCATGGTGGTTAAGGGCCCTGGACTCCCACATGGTCAACCACGATTCAAGTCCCAGAACTAGCAGCTTGATTTCTCACATTCCCTCCTCCTCCCCCTCTCTCTCTGTCCCTCTATGGTCACATTAAAATAAATAAATAAATAAGTTAAATAAAATAATTCTTTAAAAAAAAGAATCCACATAGCCTGGGACTCCATTGGAGCCTTCTGGGAAATAAGAGCTGCTGCTATACTGGTTCTAGAAGACCAGGCCTCATTTTACATTCAGACATTCTACAGTGATCTATAAAGATCTTAGTTCATGGCCAAGCATAACTTCAACAAAAAATATAAAAGAGCAAGGGAAGGTCCCACTTCTACAGGTGCCTAATCACCAGCAAAGACCATTGTTAGTTTTCCCATTTCTAGAGTATTTAAAGAGTACTGGAAGAGTATTGGAATTGGCCAATCAAGAAAAAAATCAGGCCTGCGCAGGCGCATAGAGTGAACCAAGATGGCGGCCCTGTGATCTAGAGTTGAAGAAGGCTTTCACAGAGCTTCAAGCCAAAGTTACTGACACTCAACAGAAGATGAAGCTTGCAGACATACAGATTGAACAGCTAAACAGGACGAAAAAACACACACATCTTAGAGATACAGAGATTATGACTTTGGTAGATGAGACTAATATGTATGGAGGTGTAGGAAGAATGTTTATTCTTCAGTCAAAGGAGGTAATGCACAATCTGCTGATAGAAAATAGCAGAATAAAAAATTAAAGATCTAGAGCAGAAAAAATTCTACCTGGAACGGAGTGTTAAGGAAGCTGAAGACAGTATCAGGGAGATGCTGATGGCCAGAAGGGCACAACAGGGAATCTCCAGGGGAAGCTTTCCTCCCGAGCCCTCCCATTCCTGGCAAGTATCGAAGGGCCTGCTGGTGAAACAGCTCCCCTTAACCCCAAAGGATGCTTTATGTGGATGGCCTAGCACCCCCACATTTCCTTCATCACCTGGAACCCCGTTTAGGTCCCAGCCCTGTATGTTTTTATCCTGGCTCTGCCTACCACCCCTGCCTGGACACTTCTCTCTCCTGGGCTGAGTCCTGAACTCCTAGGAGAGGGCAAATGGGAGCCAGCACAAAGGCATGCTCCACCTAAGCTACTAGACACTCTAGTCCAACCAATAAAGGCCACAGTCTCACACACACACACACACACACACACACACACACACACACACACAAAATGAAGAAAGAAAGAAAAAAGAAAAAAATCAGGAGATTTATGGCCTGTTATGGATATTTCATTTCAAATCTCAGGTAGGTGTGTTAACGTAGCATGTTAGAGACTAAGAGATCATCAAAAAATAGACATACTTTAAAGGCAAATTGAAATCATTTCAGTAATTTGGTATTATTATTTCAATACCCTAGATAATAAACTCAATTATCGCTTTCCCTTTTTACCATGTTGATGAGTGTTTACTGCACATTCTTTCAGTCTATTCAAAGATCAACAAAGCATGTAATTGCATACACTCAAAAGCGTATCATATTTCCACTTAGGGAAATGTATAACAATAAAAGACTAACATCTATATATCTCTGAGTACTTATTTTCAGCATATGAAAAGTAATGTTTATTCAGTTTGGGGGGACTTTAAAAAGGCACAGTTAATGCTATGGCAGTAAATGATTCACAGATATGATTTCACACATTAAATCCCATATTTCAGTTTTATTTTTCTATCCTGAAGGTTTCTAATCCTCATTCACATCTATATGCATTTCACTTGATCCAACAAAATTCCAGAAATTAACTCTGGAGATATAATGACGTAAATGTGAAAATATGAATGTGCATAGATATGTGTTGCAGCTTGGTTTAGAGTAGCTTTCTTTCCGTGAGACTAACTTAAGTTCCTATAAGAAACAGCAAAGAGAATTGTTTGAGTAAATTGAGATATTTCAAACAATGGAATATAGTGGACCATTAAAATGATATATTGAAAGACTTTTTAAATAGCCACAATATCTTATCTAGTAAAAATAGTGTACTACTTGATGTCATTTGTGTACAACTGTCTGAGTATCTGTCCAAAAAATATTAATTTTAGCTGTTCTGTAACCATAAAGTTTTGAGTCATTTTTAACATCCTCTTGGTACTTTTCATATTTAAAAAAATTTACAATAAGTATATATCATTTTTACTGTTCATTTATTTAATAAATACCTGTTGAGCACCTAGTATGTACCACTCCTATTTAAAGGTGATTTAAAAATACAGTAGAAAATTGAATAGCTAAAATAGTAGAAATTGGAGGTGTATCCTGGTGTGTGCAGGGAAACTATACTCTAAACCCATCTCCTAGACTCCCAAAATACTCAGATGATGTAGGATGACCTCTGTCTTCTCTCTGTCTCTGGCTATCTGTCTCTCTGTCTGTCTCATGCTCTCTCTTTAAATTTTTAATTTGTTTTTTAATTTTTTAAGCACCTATCCTCACCTTGGGCCTTTTCTTTCACTTGTTAATTTCAGAAGCCATTTTAAAGCTGAGGTGTGTCTTGGTGTGTTCAGGGAATCTAGGCTCTAAACTCCATCTCCTAGACTCCCAAAATATTCAGACAAGGTAGGGCAACCTTCATCTAGATAGGTCTAGGTACACAGTAGCCAAGCATCTGAATACTTTTGGAGTCATTGAAATCCTCAAGGCTTATTGAACCTCCTGCTTTAATGAAGAAATTTCTTTTTATAAATATGAACTCCTAATCTTACTGTTGATACCACATTGCTAAGAACTGTGGAGGAGAAATTTTGTCACAGAATTACCAAAAACAACCTCAGAGGCACAAAAAACATGAGAAACCAAGAAAATATCTCTCCCCTAAGGGAAAAGAACAATCCTTTGTCATCCACAGACAGTATAGTAGAATTCATGGAAATGGCTGATAAAGAATTCAGAATATTCATAGTGACAAAACTGAGTGAGATGCGAGAGCTGATTCCAGGAGATGCAGGAGAAAAGAGACAATGAGGTGTTGAAGTTCTTTCATGATCTGAAATAGGAAATACACACCATAAAAAATAATTAAATGGAGCTATTAAAGATGAAAGGCTGTCATTCAGGAAATCAAAACCTCCCTTGAAAGTATTAAAAACAGATTAGTCCATGCGGAAAATCAAATCTCGGATGTTGAAGGCAAAACCTCTGATCTAGAAAAAACAACCAAAAAAAACCCTGAGAAATAACCCAAAAAAATGAGAATACTATATAAGAAATACTAGACAGCATTAAGCGCCCAAACATCTGGATAATCGGTATCCCAGAAGGTGAGGAAACTAATAAGGGCATTCATAACCTATTCCATGAAATCCTGGAAGAAAACTTTCCCAATCTAGAGAGTCATTCAAATATCCAGACCCAAGCAATGCAAAGTTCTCCTAATAGAATTAACCCAAGAAGATCTTCTCCAAGGCACATCAAAGCCAGATTGGTCAAATCTACAGAGAAAGACAAGATATTAAGATTGGCAAGAGAGAAACATCAGGTTACTTATACAGGTTGTCCAATCGGGTTAAACTCAGACCTTTCATCAGAAACAATGCCAGCAAGGAGAGAATGGGAACAAATATTCAAAGTGTTAAGTGAAAAACAGTTTCAACCAAGAATACTATACCAGGCAAAATTATCTTTCATACGAAAAAAAAGAATAAAAACATTCTCAGATAAACAAGACCTGAAAGGGACCAGCAATTAGCGTAATGGGCTATGTCACTGAACTCCCATGTAGCTAACTGCAGTTCGTGTCCCAGACCCAGTGGCTTAGACTCACATCAGGTGCGTGTGCGTGCGTGCCCAAGATCCCGAGAGGAGAATGGAGGAGAAGGGGTTGCAACATGGCCATCCCCCCTGGGGGGTGATTTCTCACTTTCTGTCTCTCTGTCTCTCTCTGTCTTTCTG